TCTCTCACCTCTCTCTCTCTCTCTCTCTCTCTATTTTAGTTCCACCTCCGCTCGTCCTTCCACCGTGCCTTCTCTTCCCTTTCTCTTTCTCCCCCCCCCCTCTCTCTATCAATACCAACCTAATCTACTTTGCCAGCAAATAGTGTTCACGTTTCCCAGACAATGGTTTTCTCTTAGCTGGATATCCCCTACGCCGCCGACACATCCCGCTATCTTCCGCCTATCTATTCAATACACCCAATTGTGCCTCTTATTCTTTTTTTTTTCTCCCCTTCTTTATCGAGTATTTATTAATTGAACGACATCCATTCTCTCTTTCTTTAAGAAACGTATACGCTAAAAATTTGATCGGACTTGGAGATTCGATTGATTTCGAAAGGAACCAACTTTTTGATTTTTCAGGTTTTCTATCAGGAAAGGATTTAACGATCGTCGTTTAAAGAAGGAATCGGGTTTTGAAAATGTTTGATACAGCGGTCGAAATAAAACGTGGAGTGAACGAAATTCCTGTTAATCGTGTACGTTTAGAAAAGACATCGCGAAAAGAGTGAGAAAATTGGTGGTGCGAGTTTGGGAGAGGAGAGGAGGCCCACTCGAATCGGCCACGAATCCTCCGCCTAATTGATTCGAGCTCGCTCGGTGCCGCCAATTTTCGACGAGTGTGTAGTAAAATTAAACCGCCCGCGCCAGGTGAATCCAGGGCCATTGATTATCACGGGGTCAAGCGCTTTTCCAAGTGCTTCCTCCTTTGAAACCCGCATTTACCGCCCCCTAGACACCTACACCCTGTTTCACAATCGGACAATGGTTTCGTCGTTTTCCAACCCTCCCTTCCCTATTCAATCTCGCGACGCCTCTGATTGATAACGCGATCCTTCCTGCCCTAACATTCGTGCGCGCAGAAACGGAAGAAGAGAAAAAAAGAAGAGAAACCGATGGTGAGTATCGTGAGAGAGAGAGAGAGAGATGTAAATTAGAAAATTCGAACAAAATTTCGAACGAATTGCTTGAATTTTCAGATAGGCCTTGTGTAAAAAAGAAATAGAGAAGTTTTCAACAGTAGCATTAAGTGTGATTGAACGTCCGTTTGAAAAAACGATTGATCATGATCGAGGAATACGAAGATGAAAACGAGAAAAAAATCTTGCGTATGTTTTTCCAAGAGGCTTTTTTGAAATTATGGAATAACGTAATCTGGGTGTGTGAAAATTAACATTTATTTTGCAGATATATACCCACCACCCCATGAAACCGAGAGTGTGAGATATCGTATAAGCAAATTTTTCTTCGACTTTGAGAACAGTCGTTCTAGGTTTAAGTTTTTTCCTATAAGGTTTGAGAAATTTAGACAACTTTTTAAAAGACCGAAATATTTACACAGAGTTCCCCATTCGATTGCAGGCAAGTAAAATTAATAAGGGAAAAAATTTTTTTTGAATGAACATAGCGATCACTTTTCGCTTTAATTATAATTTTAAAATATAAACTGATGAAATAATGTTATTATATTGAATGGTGATAAATTATAATATTAATGATATTAATTAATATAAATATTAATAATATTGTAATATAATACATTTATGATTAAACAGAACACACGGAATTCGATAAATATCCATATGCAACAACGTGTCCAAATTGTTTAAGTTATATAAAAACAGAAATTCATCATCATACTACTGGTGCAACGCGTGCTATAGCTACACTTTTCATCCCAATCTGGTGAGTATATAATTTAAAAAAAAAAAAAAAAGTAATTCGAGTAAAAATAATCGAATATATTCAGAAAAAAATGGAATTAAATTTTAGCATGTGCATAATACCATATGTTACGACTAGATATAAAGATGTAGTACATTATTGCCCCCGATGCAAAATTTATTTAGGGGTCAAGTTTGGAAAAGGTAAAATTTTATTTGGTCGATTTACAGTGCCGATATGTTGATGATATATATATATTTAAAGAAAAACAAAAAAATAAAAATAATATATTCAACAATTTTGAATCTTCGCAACAAAAATTATAATATTTATCGATAATCAATATTTATCTTAAGATAATATTATTGATATTTATCATTATTGATATATCTATTATATATTTTCTAATCCTTGTAAATAAAAGTTTTAAATAAAATTAAAAATAATTATTTAAATATATGGTATTACATACAGACAAGTATAGACAAAAAGAGCAAATAGTGGAAGAGGACAAAGATAAGGTAAAAATCGTGAAATCAACGCCATCTTCAGAGTATCGTAAATAAAATACATGTAGATAAGGAAAGCGAATAATGGAAAGAGACCACATAAATAGGATAAAAATTGCTAGTGGCGCCATCTCTTGATTGTAATAAAATATGTGTTTTCAAAAATACTCAGAAGATGGCTCTGATCTTCTATTCTCACTCTTTTTTATCTTGCTTTCGAAAAAGTATCTCTAATTGCTACAAGATGGCGCTTATAGTCAATTCGTGCAAAATTCTACGAGTCGTTCGCGCAAATTCGGATCTTTCGTCTTTCTCACGGATATAAAAAAATCTTATAAAAAATTATATCTAGTCTGTGCTTTCTATGATACGATTATTTTACTACGATTGAACGATGATATGATTGAATAACCAGAGAAACAAAAATGTATGCGACTCACCAATGAATACGAAGTACGTGCGTTGCCATTGATGATTTGTTTTGGTCCAAGAGAAAATCATTGTAAAAGAATGTCAAAACTGGGACAAAATCTGTAACAAAACGTGAATTTAAAATTTTAATTTTCTTTTCTTCGTTATTAACAATTAAAGTAAAATACAAAGAATAAAATAAATAGAAAAAAATTATATAAAAATAATTACCTTTTTGCATAATGAATAATCGCCTTATACACTCTTAGGAGAAACACTGACTCTATATAACCGAAAACGAATATTTAAAAAGAAATAAATAAATAAAAAGGTATTAACGCGTCCGTTCATATTATATCATCGGCGAACAAACACTAACTATTACTTTCGTATAAAACTATTATTATTATCACATTTAATGAGAGCTATTGTGCTCTAAAAAATATTAGAAACATTATTACGCAAACACTGATTCTAATGACTGCATTGCACGCAGTCATAATAATCTGGAAAAAAAAAATAGAATTAGTGAATATAGAAAATGAAAAAAAAAATATATATATATATATTCTCATTTTTCTTTTTTTTTCCTGTCAAGTATATATTTAAAAGAATACTGTTACTTTTAAAAGAATTATATTATGAATATTGATTATTAGAATTAATGACATTTTATAGCATATTAGAATATTTAAAAATTTTTCTATTATCATCTTGATATTTTCAATAATATAATAATTATAAATTATAGAATTACAACTATTATACAATTAGTAATTCAATTTTCTTAAAAAAAAAAAAGAAAAACATAAAAGTAAAAAGTAACATATATCTTTTTTCAATATAACAACTCAAACTTTACCTCTTCTTCATAAAACAAATTATCATCATAGCGTCCATATTGAAAATCCTTTTTCCCGCCTAAAGTAATTTCAGCAACTGCAGCTACTTATCTGCGTAAAAGAAAATTAAATCTCTAAAATAAATGTATAAAATATATAAGATTAATTGTATTGTAAAACAAAAAAATAACCTAATTTATATTCTAATTTAAATCCTATTTTAGAAATAACATAATACGAGCTGGAACTCTAATAGTCAATTAAATTAATCCAAAAAAAAAAAAATAATAAATTATTCTTTAAAAACTGAATTGTTAATTATATTAACACTTAATAAATGATTGAACAAACACTGTATTAATAAAATAATAATACAAAAAGTAAACAAATATTATGGAACAGAAAAATCACATACTTGAAAAGAAACGTCTAATCTTCACGAGTTTAGAGAAAAGAATGACATCTCGCGATTTCGATATATCGAAATATAAATTGAGGAAAGGGTATGCTCGAATAATTCGACATATCGAATCTTTGAATGTGATATAAACGGAAACCGTTAATTTGGGAAAGCTTTAAATTATAAGAGATATTGTCAGCCTTGATCGTAAATCCAAAAATATACAAATAACAAATTGAATATACAAATAAACTTATTTAAGAAACAATTATATATATAAAATATGTATATGTGAATCGATTATAATAATCTAGTTACTTCCATCGTGTGAATAAAAAGATAAAAAAAATGTATATTAATTACGTTTTTGTTAAAATCTTACCACATTTGTATGAGTATTGTCGAATTATCTTTTAATTCACGTTGTAGTCACGTTGTAGTCACGCAGAAACTTTCCCGCTATCCTGCCTTCGAAATTCCAATCAAATGATAATTTACACAACGATAAAAGAACAATTTAAAACACTATTCAAATCAAATTTGGCGTAATAATTAAGTTAAATAAACACACATTAATTAAATAGAGCTTAATAATTTCTTAATAACTTGAACTTAATAACCGTAATATAATCTATCAATAAAAATTTTATGTAATTTCACACAACCGGTAAAATACGACTTATCGCCACAATTTTAATTCTATACTGACATCATGCGCATTACGATGCGCAATAATTCATTTTGCTAGATCTTAGCAATCTTCTGATTGGTTAGAACTGCTTCTCTATTTTCTCATTTAATCCGCGCGAAAATTAAAATATATACAATTATATAATATGTTTTAATTGTGAATTCTATTTACACACATCAAAAAATTAAACTTTAATGCTTCTTCATTTCAAATTACAATTATCAAATTACAATTTAAGAGAAAAAATGAACTTGATTCGAGAAAGAAGTCAAAATATGTTGAGCATAATATGAATGCAAATTTCAATTTTTGTAAAAAGATATACGATAAAAAATATTTTCTCAAACATTTCAAACATAATATAGAAAAAAAATAAATATAATATAAATAATACAAATAAATATAATTAGAAAAAAAATTTAGAAAAGTTCATTGAAAATATATTATAATTGGCGCATTAAATTTAAGTCACATTTTCATATATTCCAGAATTAGCTGCATTTTCAATTCATTCAGCTATTTTATGTATAAAGTGCTTTCATGTAAGTTTCCAATCGCAAACCTGAACCATTTTAACGTGAATTAGCCATAAAAATTAATCGTATTCGAGTACGCGGTTCTGTATGCTCAAAGTGCCAGTCATTCAACATTTTGATAATAGTTGAAACGTTTTGTCGTCATTCATGTTGTATTAGATCGTATTAAAAAATACAATGGGAGCTGTACGCGTAATCAATGATGATGGCCAATTTTATGGAGAAATGGCTAGTGCGGGTACAAAATTGGTGGTAGTTGATTTCACAGCAACATGGTAAGCTTTTTAAGGTTACATTAAATAAAAGGTTACTAAAATCCGAAAACCTCGATTTCCATATTTGCTGCATAAACCGATTTAGTTTTTAAATTTTTATATTTCTTTCATATTCAAATATGTTTAAACAATAATTATTATTTTGTAGCATTAATAGCCAAAGAAAATATAATATTTTTATATTAATGTTATTAATACATTATATCTGCATATTTATTTACTGTATTGATTTGAATGAAAAATATTAATTTTATATTTCAATTTAGAATTAATGTAAATTAATAATATTTTAATATAATTGTAACTGATATTATAATAATTTCAATTAATATTTAAGGCAAAATAATTTTTAATTTTTTCCTAAATTTTAATATAATATTAATTTAGTAATTTTTAAATTAGGTGTGGTCCATGCCAGAGAATTGCACCAATATTTGAACAACTATCACTTAAATATCCAAATGCAGTATTCCTTAAAGTCGATGTAGACAAGTGTGCAGAAACTGCTGCTATGCAAGGAGTTAGTGCAATGCCCACATTTATATTTTACCGTAATCAAACGAAATTGGGATTATGTCAAGGAGCTGATCCAACTGGATTGGAATCAAAAATTCTACAATTTTATGGCTCTGGAGATTTAGAGGATTCTGAGAGTCCAGTATCTGGACATGTACGAAATAGTGATAATGTTTATTACCATATTTTTGGAATGATATTTCTTGCTGCAGTTCTGTACTTGTGGAATAAGTACCAATAAACAAGTTGTGGTAACCTTCTTTCAGTGGATATTAACATTATAACTTATTCATTAATGAAAAAAAAAAATGCCATCAATTAAAATATATAAGTCATATTGATTTATCAACTGCATGTATTCATAATTTTATAATATTTTGTAAATATCATCACATAAAATTGATTATATATTACTCAAAATATAAAACTTGTACCACATTTAGATGTTTTCACTCTCTTCTTAATAAAAAATATTATTTACATACATATATTTCCCTGGATGTCTGTACCCAACTTTGTTATATATAAAAATATTAGAAATAAAGATACTAAATATATGATTCAAAAATTTCTCAACTATATCTTTTGCAGATGGATCTAGCTACTTTCATTACAAAAGCACAATCTGAATGTTTAAATGAATCTGATGATCACAATTTCTTACAATGCTTGAGTACTGATGATGGATATTTGGAAAGTGAATGTGATGAACAATTAATATTATCTATTGCATTTTCACAAGCAGTTAAAGTACATTCTTTAAAGATTAAAGCTCCCAAAGACAAGGGACCAAAAAATATTAAACTGTTTATTAATCAACCTAGAACAATTGATTTTGATATGGCAGATTCTAATACAAGCATCCAAGATTTAACGTAAATTCATCATTTTTATATTACTTATATTATTCAATATATTATAAAATCTATTTAATAATGTTATATTTTTTATATATAGATTATCAGCAAAGGATATTGAAGAAGGTAATCCAATTGCTTTGCGTTATGTGAAATTCCAAAATGTACAGAATATACAAATTTTCGTAAAAGATAATCAAACTGGTAATGAAGTGACAAGGATTGATCATTTAGCTATATTTGGCTCACCAATTTCAACAACAAACATGGGAGAGTTCAAAAGAGTAAATGGTAAGAAAGGAGAGAGTCATTAACAACAAATAAAGAATTGTAAAAGAATATGTTATATCAAATAAACTTTCAATGGCCGTCTTGTTTTAAAAAAAATAATATTAAAATTTTGTTACGTTTCTTGTGGTTTATACATGCATTTTATGTATTCAGAATCTCCATAATTATGTAACGATATAATAAAATTCCGTAGTTTATGAAATAAGAGCATATGTGTAATTTAAAAATTATTTGTTTATTAATAATTTATTAACAGTAATAGAATTATTAACGAAAAATTTTGTAAAATAAATTGGAATTTCTGCATTTCTTCCGATCTATATATATATATATGTATTTACATTTAAAAAAATATTTAAAGAATTTTTACAAATGCACTTGCTCAATGGATTAATTATTATTAGGTGCAAAATTTTAAAAAAATTATTGTATTCATAAATAAAAATAATAAAAATTAATAATCATTTTATTTAATTATTTTACCTATCTAAATAAAAATTATTTACACGAATATGAAATGAAATTTGTTCAATATTAAATACATTATAATTAATCTTAAATAAAAATGCTTAATGTAAACTTATTATCTTATCATGTATAAAATCACAATATATATTATTATAAATTATAAATTAATTATTTAAGAACAAGCTTTATGAATTCTCCAAATACCACCACAACGACAAGCTCGTGCCCATCTCTGATCCCATGCTCTAATTGCAGCTGTTCTTGTCATATTTTGTACTTGAGCTTTTCCAACACACCTGAAATTTTAATTTATTGATATAAAATTTTATATGAAGAATACTTGGAAAAAATATCATAATCAGTATTATTCATTATATATAATACCTTGTGCATTGTTTAACAAGAAGTGGTTGTTTTCCAAGATACAAATGCCTTATGCCATCCACAATCTGACCACTATGCATACAACCTTCAATTGGGTTAAATTCAGGTACAAATAATAATTGTTCTGGCTCTATGCTATATTCTAACTATAATTTAAAAAAATAAAAGATTAAAAGCTCTTTATATTAAGTGAAAAAATATTAAAAAACTTTTTTACCTGTAAGGGAAAATTTTGATAAAAAAGCACAGGTGTGGCTATAGCTGTTATACTATTGCCTTGATGTAATTGAGGTATCATAATTTGATTAGGTAATAAGCAACAATCATCTGGAAGTAAATCATCATCATAGTGAAATTATATATTTTATCAAGTTTTTCATTCCACTGATACCTACTCTATTTTACTCTATTTTAAAATAATTACTATCAAAAATGAATTTTTTTTAAGTATTTTGCAATTCTTATTTATTATTAATTTATAATAATTTAATCAATATATACTTATGATAATATACTTTGGAATTAATATCTAATAATAAAATAATAAAATAATAATTTAATCTTTATCAAGCTAGAGAATATCTAATTATATTTCAAATAGAATAATTTTATCTTTCAAATTTTCATTTTCTTTATCTTTAGAAGTATTTCCTAATACAAGAATTGGTTTTCTATCGTTCAAATTCACGGACCACTCTTTAGCTGATTCTTGATCCGATTCGATTTTTAAAAATACTTCATTTTTTTCACTTTTTGGATTTTCTATATCCGCGATAAAATATGTTGTTCTGAGATCTGTTAATTTTTTCTCTTCTTTTAAATTTTTATTCACATCTTTTTCAATTGGAGAAAAATCATTAGAGAAAAAATATTTCTTTTCAGTTTCTTGAGAATTACTTTCTCTGTTTCGTTCAGCTTTCTCAGCTTCTTTTATAAGATCAAGAAAAAACAATTCTCTCGGTGAAAGAAATTCTTTTGGTGTTTTCGTATCCAATTCATCTTGCGGAGTAACTGTTACCAATTTTAAATAATCTTTTATCGATTCTTTTTGATTCTTCAGATAATTGTTTCCAGATTTTAATAGATATTCGTCTTCGTTATTCTCATTGATACCTTCGCTAATATTCTTCTTCACATTTACAATTCCAGTATGTTCGATATCATTGCCCGAATTACGACGATGAATCACTAGAGGCGGAAGATCTCTATATCTTTTAAGTTTGTTATATCGAAATTCATCAGAATTATTAATATTTAATTTATCATGTAAAATTTTATTCTTATCAATAATTGAATCATTCAATGATTTATCTTTCAGTTTCGTATTTTGCGAATAATCAAGTTTGGTATTGATTAAAGATTCGGATTTCAGAGTATTGTTTGTACCATAAGATTGAAATTTCATTTTATCGTTGCTTTTAATTTCGACACATTTCCAAATGATAATCAAACACAACATAATGAAAAGCCAAATTAGAAACGCAATAAGCCAATATAAAATGAGACTACCCGACCAAATTTCAATCTTGCCTGAATGATGATTGGCAAAAGCACTGATTAAAAGAGGTGTTAATACGAGCCAATAAATAAAAAATATACAGCATGATACAATACAAAATATAGCTAACTTATATGGTCTCGAATACGGGAAGCAATTATTCGATTCACTTTTCTTCAATAACAATTTTTGTTTTTTTGAACTTATTGAGTTCGTATGTTTTACCGCAAATTTGTCATTCATTTTAAAAAGTAAAAATTAAAATTAATAGAATTTAAAAATTATAATACTATCACACAATGTTTTATGCGCACTGGCATAATATTTACTCTATATATTTACCATGAAAAAATATACAATTTCCTTTTTAAATATGAGGATGTGGTTTATTATCTTACTTCCGACCAATATCATTAAGATAAACTTGAAACGAATATTTATAAATATTATATCACAATTTTATTATACATATAAGTATTATATTAATATTATCTATATTATTATATATATCATATATATTACATATCTCATGAAAGAACTCACCAATTAGACCATCATCTATTTGTTGAGTTTGACCATCACCATTCGGTTGAACCAATTTTGATAATAAACGGAATAATAAAGCTAATACATCAAGATTATCAGCACTACGAAGAAATACTGGAAGACATGAAGGACGCAATAAACCCCATATACGTATTATCACAAGCAATTCTCTTAATGTATTCAAAGCTTTATGGTCTTTCAGAAGTTCATACTGCATCACATAAAAAGAAAAAATTAATACAATTATGCTATTATGAGAAATATATTATTCAGAATTTATTTCTAATACTAACACCGCCAGACTTCATTTGCAATCTCTGTTCTGGAAGACGAGCCAGAAGATTTAAAGCCAGATCTGCGACCCATTGAATCAATTGTTGTAATGATTGTAATGTACTTGGTTCCACAGTAAATTCTTTAGGATCGAGATGTAAAAGTACCTGATAATTACATATATATTATGATTATAAACTTATTGAAATTTTTGCTGCAAAAAAAAAAAATATTTTGATTTTACCTTATCTACATCAGTGATTGCCTCATTAATTACTGTTGCTAAGCTCTCTGCTGGTCCCTTATCATGAGAAATTAAATCTGACGGCCGTAATAATGATTTAAACGCAGTTGCTACCGAATGTATCATAAGTAACGATGACAAATCGGCAGCCTTACTTTGTCCTGACACTAGCATTCTGAAAATATACCATAACTTAATATGAAGCAACGTAAAATCAACATAAAAATTTATTTAAAAAATAATATGAAACCTGTACAATGATATTTTGATGCAAAGAAATTGAATATAATGATACTGTTGTATAGGCTGCAATTGTCTATTAAAGGAAACATCCAACCTGTCGCACAATGGCTCGATCATCGAAGATCTTAAACACAAAAGTACGTCCAACCAATCTAATCCCGTTACTAAACAATATTCTAATAGTGTACAAGCATAACTTAATGTTAATGATGGTCCTATAAGAAAGATTTTTAATATAATCTTTTCTTTTTTAAGACAATATTTTTTTTATATAAATTTTTAGATTAAAAAATAGATTACCTCCATCAGGTAATAATTTATACAAATATAAATTTCCGCGTGTATCACAAGCTAAAAGTACACAACCAAGCCAAGATATATCTATATTAGTTATCGAAACCGAACTTTTAAAATATTTGTTATTAGGTTCATCAGGTCGCCATGCCATATTTAAAGAGGAAAACGATATTTCTTTTAAACAATCACGACTTAAACAATGTATCGATGAATCCGCTAAAGCTACTACAACATAACTTGGAGGAGGTAATGTGGTAACTATAGATAATTTTGTAGTCGCTATTGCTGCAATCGGAGACGAACAACGATATTGCGATTGATGTTGCCATACCTAAAAATATATATTAAAAATATATATCATTAAACTGAAATTATTAAAATTTTTGTATTGAAAAATAATTAAAACTTTAAATTGGAAAACACATACCACTACAGTTTTAAATGGTTCTAACGTTTTAGGCTGAAATAATTTGTGAACTGGTTGTGATTTTTCTCTTAATTCCCATACTTCCACTATACCACCACTATCACTATTTACAGCAATAACTAAGGAATCTGCATCCTCTCTGACTACAAACTTTAAATGTGTTACACTTGTATCTAGAAAATAATTTTATTATTTTTCATATATGACAATCTAATGATTAATTATAAAAAAAGATTATTTAATCATACATGTATTGTCTTTTGGTGCACCATCTTGTAGAAAAAAACTAGGCAATGCTTGTGAAGTTATAGTACATTTGTCATCATTTTTACGTACTAATACTCTATAACATCTAATTGGTAAATAAATATTTCCACTACTTATAGCTACTAAAATATGACCATCTAAAAGTTTAAAAAATCTTATATTAATCAACTTATTGAAAAAGAAATAATTATTTTAACATTGTTTTACAAATAATATATACTTTTTCCATAACATAAATCAACTGCTGTTATCCTGTGTCTTGTGCTGCCTAAACTCTCTGTAGAAGAACAAATAGGATTTTGAAAATCTTTTGTAATCATAACAGCACCAACCATGCCTGTTGTTGAAACTACTAATACACCCTCTGCTGCTCTGCCTCCAAATTGTCTTACAGAGGGAGCAAAAGGTAAATGATTAAATTTTTCACTATAATGAATACTATCTTTTTTTTCTGTTACCAATCCTGTCTAAAATACCAAATTTTTTTCTATAAAACAAATTCATAAAAAACAATAATAAAAAGAACTTCTTAATACTTTAGAAATACCTTTTTCCCATTATGAAACCAAGCTGCACCTAATATATATTCACCAACAAAACAGGTAGAGCCAATTAATACCCAATCATTAAGAACATGATCCTTGAACATCCATAATTGAATATTTCCAATAGAATCAGCAACAACTAATTTATCACCTGGCAAATCCCATTCTAATGCGGTGATAATATTTTTATTTGATAGCACTCTAATTACATATAATAATAATTAATTTTATGAAATTTTTTGAATAAATTATAGATAATAAATTATTTATAAATATTTCATACTTGTGAGTATGCCAAGGCATATTCAAGTCACAGACATAAACATGAGATCCCCATGTTTTTCCATTATTATCATCTAATTCTGTAGTTGTAGTAAAAGCAACAATATTACGACTAGATAATGAGCATAAAGATTGTCCCTCATACAGGCTAAAAATTTGATTACTGTATAAACATTAAAGAATTAAATTTTAAAAATATTCTCTCTGAATTAATATATAATGTATAATTAATATATAATATAATTTTATATTATAATAATAATAATAAAATATTTATATATAATGCTTAAAATTTATGAAAATATATTTAATTATGTAATATTATTAATATATTATGCAAAATTATTAATATTACAATAAGTAAAATATATTTCATTTTTTAATATTTTACTTTTGATAACATATTATTGATAACATATAAATGTAAATAATAAATATTTATATAATATATTTAATATTTTTATGTTATACTAGTGAAATTTGTTTTCAATAAAATATATTGATATATTAAAAAAAATATTTGTAAAAAAATTGTTTAATTGTAAAAAAAATCACATACCTTTCTTGATTTAAAAAAGGTTTTGGAGCAACTTTTCTATTCACAGTATATAATAAATCCATTTTTAAGGTTATGTTATGTTACAATTAAAAAACACGAAAAAGAGTGCATATTCTCAAAAATTAATTATTTATTATTTTTGTTAAATTGTTAGTACAAAAATATAAGACGTATCAGTTATAATTTTTAATAAATTATATAACAAAATATTATGAAGAAAATGACAACAAAACTTCAAGACCTGCACTGTCGTCAGCAGTGCGTCATGTGCTGAACTGCTATGTGTTTGTGCTCTGACCCATCCGAATTATGCATTCTTTGTTCTAATTTAGGTCATTTACAATTATGATACATTTATCGTTATTTTTAATTATTCTATTCACAACTGAATTATAAAGTAAAAAATTGCACTTCAAATACGAGAATGGTACATTATTATCAATTAATCGATTTATACAAGTGTTAATGCCTTTTAACCTTGCTCCATTTGTTTTGATTCGCTTTTATTCCTTAAGACTGGCTATAATAAATTATATTTGCATTTTTCTCTCCTTATTTATTTCAATTTCCTGTACCTATTTGTGCTATAATAAAATTGAAAATATTGCTCAGACTTTTTGTTAATTTATGTTTTTCATTATTCATCTTTTTATGCTGTCCATTGGAATGTGAATACATTGTTGCTTAAATATGACATTAAAAAAAAACAATATCAAGATTGAAATGCATGATCTATAAATAAAATAAAAATTATGGATAATAGATTATTAGAAGTCTTGTTTGCCTATATTTTTATTTTTTGTGTACTCTGCATGTTATACTTACTTTTTAAAGTATATGTATATTTTAAAATGATATATTTATCATTAGTTAATTAAATATTTAATTATTTTTTCTTGCTCCCTGTATAAAAATTATTCCTATTCTATCTTTACTTTTAATTTTATATATATAAGAAATCTATCAGAATTTTTGTATATTTTTAATTTTATATGTGAGTATAATTTATGGAATCTATATATGAATTTTGATGTGTTCCATGTTATAAGACATACAAAATTTTTATGTTTTTTATGTAATTTTTAAATTTTTATTACATAGAAAATGGATGGCGATCAAGGAAAGGATAGCCCTTCCAAACCAACTGAAAATATTAATACTAAATCTGCAAAGCCATTAGGACTAAGTACAAGAATTGCTCTTGAAATATTACAACGTGACGTTAAAAGAGTTTTACAAGAATATGAAGAAGAGTACAAAAGAAATAAGTAATTTCATTACTTATTTATTATTTATATCAATAAATGAATTCCATATTTTATATTGTAAATACTGTATATATTATGTGCAGAAAATATAAAGCTTGGCTAAAGGACACATTACATCATCGTAGTCAATATACAACTCTTTGTTGGACTTCAGCAATCGCACTTTTGATCAATGCTATTATACTTGTCATTGCATTCTTCACAATCAACGATACATGGTATGAATTAAATCAATTTCTTTTCATGTATCAAATATAGTATTACATAAAATATTAATGCTTGTAATATATATTAGCAATAGTATATTATTATATTTGTAATGTTTTTTAAATTACTGCCCATAAACTTTTACCCATAAAATTCATAAAAATTGTTTACAAAAATTATAAGAATTAAAATACGAATTGTTATATATAATAAATAAAATTTGATGTCATAGGTATCCTACACTGCCTTATGAAGGACTGACTGTTTGTTGTCTAGTGATGTTAAATTTTATTTTAGTCGTATCTGATAATAAATTACGACACGAAGAAATTCCTTATAGAGTACGAGGTCTCCTTGACCAATTAGAAGGTATCTCAAAGTGATTAAATATCCAAATTTTATTACATTACATTAAATATTATTAAATTACATTACATTAAATAAATTTCTTTCATAAATAATTGTATTTCTCTGATTTCAGTAGCAAAAAATACTTGCCAATGGAATCCAGAGAATTATCCACATTTATGTAGTCCACTGTCTCCTTGCTTAACGTTACAGTGGACTTATCGCGATGGTCGCATAATTAATTTACCCTGGGCATTGTTAGTTGCTAGTGATATAATCGTCATAAAACCCGGACAACAAGCACCTGGATATTGTGTCCCGTATGATGTAAATTACAATTTTTTAAATTCAATACACATGTTTGATCACATAAAATAAAATTTTAATACGAAAAATAATTTTAGGATGCTGATGCACCAGTATTACATGCAAGAGAAGTATACAGTCCTCAGGTTCACAGTGCTAATGAAATATTTTCAACACCACAGGCACGAACGCCTTTAAAAAATAAAATTTACAAACTTCAAGAAACACCATATTTAATGAATCTCAGAATGGCTCTCGATCAAGCTTTAGACAGACCGGTCACGTATCACAATCGCAAACGGCATCTTTTAATGATATGTTGCATCGAACAATTGGCTTATCCAATTCTTTTGATTATTGTTCTAGTTGCTAATTTATTTCGATACATGTATGTGTCAGAATATTTCGGTGTCGGTTATTGGAATGAAATGTTTCTGTTACAACCGATTGCTATTAGTATCCCTTTACTTCCGTTAGTATTCCCAACTTGTTGGATTTTTTTAAATTGTTTTGGAATGGCTCGTTTCAAAGCTCTGTTTAAGCTTTATCAATCTTCGAAGAAACTTCAGGTTAATATATCATTAAGATAAAATAATTTTCTTTGAATATCAATAAATATTATCGTATGGTATATCCTAAAATTCATTCGTTTTAGTTTGTGGATCCTTTCGAAGATGCGGATATTTCCGGGCCTAGCCATCCAGAAGTAGTGTACAATTGGTTGGAATTAAAAGAATATTTTTTTGACATATTGTTTGGTAAAGAGCATATGATGTCAAGATCCGCCAGTATTCTACATGTTTTAGGATCAGTCACGGTATTTTAAATGACAACTTTATCTTTAAATAATATTAAAGAAAATGAATGAAAGCAAGCCAATTTCCAGGCATTATGTTGCGTGGATAAAAAAGGGATTCTTTCGTGGCCTAATCCAACTGCCGAGAAAGTATTCTTTTTACGAAATGCTAATACTCTATCCCCATCTTCGAGGTAAATATTTAAAAATATTAAAAATATTTAAAAATCGGCATTCTTTATCAATATTCAATTTAAATATCTACAATTAAAATAAAAAATCTTACAGTACTGGTAGCTTAGATAGAAATTCAGAACCTCAATATCAGACACAAACTGACGATTCTAAACAAGATTCGAATAAAACATCCTATGTGACTCATGGTAAGAGAAAGAAAATATAAAAAAATATAAAGTAAATTACAAAATAATCATCTCAAAAATAATTTTCAGATATGTCCCATTCAACAGCTGAAGTTTTGGATCTTACTCATGACCATGCTTTACCATTTCGTCTACAGTTCGATGACCATTCTTGGAGGCAACATTTGAACTCATTAAAACCCCTAGGTTTAGCGATTCTTCTCAACACGTGTAATATGGATACGCAAGAGCATTATATGCAGTTTTGTTGCCATGTCACGTGTGAAGCTCTTTTTAATGAAAATCTAGTACCAGTAACGAATAGACGGTAGGTATATATATTTCTAGGAATGTATTTATCGTTTATGTGTTTTTTTTTTTTTCGCAAATGCATTTCTTCCCCTCGTTTGTCTGCATTATCTCTGCAAAACTAATTCTCCTAATATGTCAATGCTAATTACATCCAGTTTATCATATGGCAGTTAATCATTATCCTAAGACAGTATCCAATGGTAACACGTCCAATTTACCAGTAACGTTGATCATACACATTTGTCAGCTACCAGGATCACAGTGTAGAAGATAAGAGTGGGTATCAGGCAAAAGATACAATGCAAAGTTCAAGACAGGTGTATTTAGTCGACGAATCAGGGAGCCTTGGACATATGTGGTCAGTCCAACCATAGTTATTTATACGTATCCTCCTCCTATTTATATAGTTAATCCTGTATATATGGGTGAATGTTATCTCCAAACGTACATATATTCATGAGAATGCTAATCATGGGACAATCTCATATTTCTATTCTATTCTAATCTTTTCTACTCATCTTTTTTGATATGTATAATGAATTCATTTTATTTTATGTGTATGATTTTTATAGGTGTTTATGCGAATTAGCCAAGCAGATAGGTTTCCAAGATCAGGCACAAAATATATTTCAATTGGAGCAACAATTGTCCACGTTTAGGCATGTTGTAAGCATCATTTTTAATTTTTTCTTTATAATTCAATAAATGAAATAATTATAATAAATTTTTTTGTTTCAGCAACCAGAGATGGTTCGGCGAGATATCAAATTTGCACGATCTTTGAGTATCGCGACAAAGTTAAAATTTCCATTTCCACATATGGTAGCTGTAGTGGTTAGAGAACGCAGTGGTGGAGGTTTGCAATTACTTACACAGGGTACAGCAGATATAATATTGGATTCTTGCATTGAATTTTGGGACGGTCATGATCTCTGTCCATTATCAGCATCGGATAGGTATGAAAATATTAAACTTTGAGAAATTTCATTTATATTTTAATATTCGAATGTTATATTTTTCAGGAAAAAAGTGCAAGATTTTTATCAAAGAACGAGCTTAACATCATATTGTACTGCATTTGCGTATAGGCCACTAACACGTGGTATTTGTGATAAAATGTCTAAAATATATCTAGAACTTCCTGCAGATAGCAAACATTTGTATGCACCTCACAGAAGTCCTACTCCTTTACCTTGGGACTTTAGAAATGTTCTTGATCCTAGAGTGAAAGGCATACTTGGACAATTTCACTCGACTGGTAATTACTATTTTTTTCATTGATTTATTATTATCATTTAATATTATTATTATTTCACAGATTCTTTGTTGTGCAATGAGAATAAAGACGATGTTGTAAATGACGTTGATAGCTGCTTTGACATTCAATGTAATCAAGTTTTTATTGGTATGGTCACTATGCAGTACCAAGCACAAACAGATATGGTAAAACATTTTTCGATTCAAAATAAATTTGTAGTAAATGTTGAAATAAATCAACAAAAACATTTTATATAATTTTTCCATAAAATGTTTAACAGGTACAATTAATCGAACAACTCGACAGAGCTTGTATTCGATTTGTTCACTTCAGCAAAGAGAATGAATTAAGATCACGCGTATTCTCAGAAAAGATGGGCCTCGAAAGCGGATGGAATTGTCACATATCGTTGCTCAGTGAAAGAGCTAGGTACTGTACCTCTTTCTTCCATCAACTAATTATATTAAATGTCTCTATAAACTATTTTGCTTTGCTTTCTTTTGCTTTTGGATTAATATCTGAAAAGTTTGGGGCATGTCCTCATGTTGGAAAGTACAAAATATCTTCTCTGTCTTATATGTGTAAAGTTTTATATGTATACAAAGAAACATATTCAACACAAAGTATCAACACAC